CCCCAGGCAACACCCACCAATAACGTGTGAGATATAACTTGGACAATCCCACCAAGTCCGGTCGGCCCTGGCCAATGCCCGCTGAAATGCGATATTTGCTCAGCCATCTTCTTCCCGTTTGATGTGAGCTACGTCATGGGCCCCGGGTCTCCGAAGTTCCCTGGGTGCTCGCGGCCCGATGACCCAATCCTCCATTGCCATCCATTCCTTCCACTGTCGATCGCCAACGCTAAGCCACTCGCTCCAGTTCACGTCGGCGGCGCGCATCTCTTTCTCCGAGGGGTCCTGGAGCGGCTTCAGATACGGAATGTACTGGCCGTCGCCCATGTCATACGAGTCCTTGACACTGAGCCAGGGACGGCTCTTGGCGGCGAAGAGGTAGTTGCGCCGTTCGGCCTCGTGTAAGCGGCCGATGCCGGCCACCCAGTCGTTGCCGAAGAACCCGTGCAAAATTCCCGGCGAGTCAAGCCCCATGGCTACCAAGCGGCGGAGGTAGGGCGTGACAGAGATGACGTTGGGGCCGGGGGAGACCATAGGGGTCGGTATGCCTGGGGAGGGGGCGTATTCGGGCATATGCACAGCCGAAGCCGCCGCTGCGGGATGGGCCGAAGGATGCCTTGCGGCAGCAGCACCCGCTACCGTTGCAGGCGAAGAGGCGGCGGGTTTGTACGAGACAACGGGGTTCGGAACCTGCTGGTATGGGAGCTTGATGTTGAGGAACGCGGCGAAAGCCTGGATCGGGCCGTCGTACTGTGCGTGGTCCAAGAAATAGCGTACGCAAGACTGAAAATGAGGGTACCATTCGAGCACATCGAACTCGGGGTCCTCAAAGGGCTTGGCGTCAATGTTAGCCCGTGAACGCTTGCTCGGAGGAGGAAAGAAATATAAAGGCCCGCGTCAGCATCTGACGGGAAAATATCCTACCATTGCGCCACTGGAGGGGTCCATTTCTCTGAGACCTCGGCGTGCGGGTCTTATCAGAGGGGATTTGCCGCTTGGAATGTTATTATTTTCTACCCGGCGACGTTTCGAAGTCTGTGCGGGAGAAGGAGCCTTCGCAAATACACCCACGGTAGAACCAGTAATATGCCGTTCCAAATATGACCGGCTTCCAAGCCGAGAAGGTATGGCCGGAGGTGCCCTGGGCCTGGGGGGGGGGGGGGGGGGGGGGGGGGGGGGGGGGGGGGGGGGGGGGGGGGGGGGGGGGGGGGGGGGGGGGGGGGGGGGGGGGGGGGGGGGGGGGGGGGGGGGGGGTTAGACGGGCAGCAAGGTTGAAGATTCGAGGGAGGCAGGGTAAGGGAGTGAAGAGGGGGAGAAAGAGAGAGATAGGAGAGAGGGGCAGAGGGGACACTGAATCAAGTAAGGGACAGAGGCCGGCGAAACGCATGTGCCATGGCTTGGTATTTGTTGCGGGGAAGGCGGGCAGCAGCTTTTCAATTATATATCCAGGTCTGAGGGCTGTCAGGAACAGGGAGAAAAAAGCTATCCAAACCCAGCAATTCACAGCCAAGGCTCGAGGAAGATGCTAGATGCTATCCGGCGTTCCACGTTTGGAAACGGGGCTCAATCGGAACTGAGAGGGGGGGGGGGGGGGGGGGCTACTACTATAGCCCAATAACCCTTGGGGGATGGGACCGAGGTGGGAGGATGGAGCCGCCAATGTAGAATGCGACGTCAAGCTATGACGGGCGCCCACAATACTCCGCGCGGGTGCAAAAGTCCAGGCTGGATAGCGGATGGGGGGTAAAAAAAAAATGGTAAAAAAGAGAAGACTTTGGAGCTGACCCGACAACGGGCGGCGAGGCCAGGCGAGGCGATGATCCAAGACTCTTGGAAGTCCGAGGTCCGATGATGGACCGAGTGACAGGCGCCCAGTAAGGCAAGCGTTCATGCAAGTCACTCGCGTCACCACCTTAAATACTGCAGGGGTCCAGCCTGCCGGCATAAACGCAAGCCAGATGAGCTGGGAGGCAATAAGAGTATGTAGTAAGGGGTGAGGGAGCGGCCGCATATCAGAGTAGGGTGTGGTGTGGTGTGGTGTGGTGATGTGGGATCTGCGGCTGTAACAAAGCCTGGGAACGAAGAACCGGGTCTACATAAGCAGCAGAGGGTTTGGTAGAAGTTGAGTCGCAGGAGTATCCGTAGGACGAACGAACGAGCTGGGGCAGGGGGGCACATGAGGCGGACTGTGTATATGTGATGTATCCGTACCAACAAACGGGTGTGTGGGGGTGAAGGATGCACGTGAAGAGAGTCGTCAGTTGATATATCGCCTTTCCCGCCTTGTACTAAAGGTAAGTAGGGATTACCTATCCATCCATACGTTGGGCGAGACAGCGAAGTTGGTGTCGGCGTGGTCGTCGTCGTCGTCGGTATTACCTCCTTGTAGGCCAGAAGAAGTATGTACGCACGAATGTTAGGTCTTACGCTATGCTTATTTACTTCCTAGTTCCCTCGTCCCTGTCACGGGTCCATTGTGGTTCTAGACGGATAGAGAGGTCCGATCCGTAGAGGTATTTTTGGTCTGTCGGATCGAGGGACCATGCCAGCTGAAGCGGCGCCGGCGGGGGAACACCAGAGGTGGGGGAAAACACCGGGCTTGTACACGTGTAGTGTACAGGGCGGCCAGGATTCACACGGCCACACATTGTATCTGTCGGAACGAAACGAAGGCTCACGGTCAAAGGAAGCAATCTCCGGGTCTATCTCGAGCGAGGGAAGAGAGAATGGGCGGAAAGTGAGTTTCATTATGTGGAACATAAGGGAAACGATTAGTAGTCGTTAAGAGAGATAAGATGAAACAACCAACAACAGCACTCGGTACGAACAAACAGGAAATGTTCCGTTCCACGAAGGTACGGAGAACCGTGCACCGTGCACCGTGCATGTGCCAATGAAGTAACTACCTAGGTACTTCGTAGAAACAGGGAAGGAAAAGGGGCCAGCCAGCGGGAGGGCACGGTCCAAGTGGCTGATGACGGTTGCCAACACTTGCGAGGAGCTGAACAAGGGATTATATCCCCATCATGTAAGTTTTGTCCTCTTGACATGTACGGATAAGTCCACTTTTAAATGGGGCCTTGAAGATAAGAGTACCGTATATAAGTATCCCATACAATTTGTATATATAACCCAAGTAGAGATCTACACTTATTATATTTAAAGTCGACGATATTATTAACCGAATAGCTATGTTTTTAATTAAGTGTGGATTACCTTAGGTAAGGTACGTAATAATATAACGAGTATAGAATTCTACCTCTCGGGTTATATATACAAATTGTATAGAATACTTATGCACGGTACTCTTATCTTTATAGCCCTATTCAAAAGTGGGTTCAGATATAACACGGGGATAGGATACAATCAATCCCCTAAACAAATCTTAGCTTGGATATCCTTGGTTGGTATACGTTGTAGCTGACTCGGACACCAGGTCGGAAGGCCGGAATTTTAGTTCAGGAAGGGTTTTTAACAAAAACCCCCGGGAACAAACGACAGGACAAGGGGTAAAAGGGAACAGAGAGAGTACGGAGTACTCATAGAAGAACACGCTCACTTAACCGGCGTGCGCTCTGCTATATTTTACGGATATATAGCCGGCCGGTCGGCTATATCACCCTTGAATATTATTACACTCAAAAACGTACTACTACACCAAAAGAGAATCCTCTAATATATAGGTACTTCTTAGTGTCTTATATAGTTCAACACACCCCCCAGCCTATATAAGGACAATCTTCGTGCTTAAAGGCTAACTGGAAACACACTTACATCGACATGGCTTGTTTCGTATAAGCGGTCTTCTAGGGCACCAAAGCTCATTTAAGGCATCTCCTCGGCTAGGTTTCGAACGGGTAGTCTTAGCAGCGGAGTTATAGGAATAGACTAGCGTATTCCTCCCGGGCTTATAACTATTACACTCAAAAATATACTACTACACCAAAAGAGAATTCTCCTTTAGTGTAGTAGTACGTTTTTAAGTATAATAGTTATAAGCCCGGGTAGTAGCAGTAACTAGTAACTTCCTACTAATCTATTATCTACGTTTATTTTTATATACTTCTACAGTATAACGGAGCCCTCCTACGCTCTCTCTCCTAATAATAAGCTCTTATTCGCTAAACCCTTACTTAACACTATATCGAATAAGCTTAAGATCACGGCTAAAGCGCTCGGCATCCCGCGCCTTAAATCCACGCGGTAATAGGCCGATTAGATCTTCTATATCTAGTCGTATACGTAAGGGATAAAGGTCTAGGTATTACTCGATCCTAGCTAAAAGGATTAGCTAGATAACCGTCCTAAGTATATTATATCTAAATCCCTAGATTAACTACGCGAATAGTATTCCTAAGGCGAGGGCGATAATACTATTATGCCCTCGACGTAGGAGCTTATACGCCTCGCCGAAATCGAGAATTAGTAGACTATAGCCTAGAATTAAAAGCTCGGTCGCCTTATTAAGGCGCTCGATAAGGCTAATTAACTACTTAAAACTACCGTAGAGACCTCTACTTATTAATAGGCTATTAAAAAGGGTATTAAAAATATCCCGGCTATAAAGAGGAAAAATAAAATCGATACTTTATATTACGCCACGTAATAAAAGAACTTAAGAGTAGCTTCGCTCTAAGTAGTATTTATATAAAGGAAGAGGTAAGACGAGTATACGAAAAGTATCTATAAAACGCTCGTCGAGCTAATACTAAAGTGGCTATATAGTATACAGAGTAAAATACTCTTATTAGACGCGTATATTAGTAAAAGGTAGCCGAGATTAAAGGACCTATTACTATTCAGAACTTCCTTATAGTAGTTAGATAGAAGTTTACGCCTATTTAGGCAGAAACTAAGCTCTAGGAGCTAGTAATAAAAGAGGTCCGTGGCGATAAGATTTCCGATCTTCTAATATACGGCCGCGAGTTTAACGCTATTATAAGCGCTTTAACCATGGATAGCACGCGCCACGGCGTTTATGTGACCCTAGGAGACCGCTTAAATAATAACGAAGGCGGAAAAAAGCCTAAAAAGAAAAGTACTAATTACCCCTATCGACGCGAATATACTTAGAAGCTAGAGTACTATAATAAGCTAGAGTACGCTTTAACCGGAAAATACGAGTAGAGATCTAATACCTACGTTAACGATAAGTGGTATAAGGAGATACGGAAGGAGATTAAGCTCCTAAAGTGGAAGAGCTTACGCGAAAAACTATCGAAAAAGGGATAGGAAAGCTCGGAGAGCGGTAGTAATAAGGGTAGAGATAGGTATCCTAGGAAGGTTATTATAACTATCCTGGATCCCGCCCTTATCTATACTATAGAAGAGGTTCCTAGGATCTACGCCGCGCTCCGACTAGGCCCTTACCTGCTCTTATAGAGCACTCTTCTTAATAATTACGGCGTAACTCACCTTATTAACTTAATCGACCTGCTTATTCTAGGTTCCTTCGTTCCTATAAAGGGATCTATCGAATCCGGTATAACCGACTTTCCGATTATTAGTAAAGGTAAACGGCTTCTTAAGAGAATCCTTAATAGACCTTTAGGTGCTCCGAAAGCTAACTTAGAGCTTAACGATATAGTCGTCGTAAAGGGATTTTACACGAATATTATATTAGAAGCTCTATTATATAAGGTTAGGATCTAGTATTCGGGATATAACTACTTATTACGCTTTAGAACGGCGGAGAAAAGCGTAGTCTTATTAAAGCTACTTCGACGCTTTAATATAACTATCCTTTAGTATAAGCTAATTTTATCTTCTTCTTCTTCTTATTTATTATTCTAACTAATACTATATAGTATTATTCCGATTAATTACGACTATTAATATATACTAGTTACAGTAGTCGATCGACTAATAAGAGCTCACCGATATTACCGACCTTCCCGTGACCCTCCTCGTCTATAAGTCGACGAAGAATATCTATAGTATTTAAGAGCAGGCTATCTTAGACTAAGCGTTCTACGAGTATTAGTTCGTAACGCTAGGAACGTATTAATTAAGGGAACTAAGCGGATAGACTATAAGATATACTCTAGAACCTGGGCACGTTAAGTCGTGTCTCGATACACGTTAGAATACCGCTCCCCACGACCGTTTTAGCGTATTTATTAGGATCTTTAAGAGCTACCTAAGAGCTATAACGGTATACGATATCTTCTTATAATAAAGGACGAATATAGCGGCTAGATCTATATACTGCCTTTAGCTTCGAAAAACAGCGTTATAGTCTAGAACGCGCTTTAAGCGTTTAAACGATAGGTTAACCGGCAGTTTATATTATATATCTATAAGATACGCAGTAATAACGAGCCCTTAATTATTAATCTAGCAGGGGATTCAATAACCCAGCTATAGGCGAGCAGTCAAGGGATTAAGATAGAAATTATACCGCTATACACTTATAAACTGAACGGAGGTAGCGAAAAAGCCGGTTAACTAATTATTATAAAGTCTAACGCTATACTTAACGGAGTAGGAATTCTATTAGATAAATAGCCAGAGAGCACTAGATCAGTAGCGTCATTATATAGTATAAGTCCCTTATAACGATACGGATAGAAATCCCTAGTGGAAATCCTTAACTTATAGTTTAGAAAGAATACGCCGATTCTAATAAAAGAGTATATAGCCGACCTACGCCCTGATTAGAGTAGTATTTATACTTATAGCTGCCGCGCCTATCTAATAGTAAGGGATAAGGAGGCTAGGAGAAACAGGAAACTCTATAAGGTTTAACTAAGGGGATATATTAGGTATCTTATAGGTTACGTTACCTATAATATTTACCGAGTATAGATTCTATAGCTTTAAAAGGTTATTATAACGCGTAATATATAGTTTAATAAGTAGCTGTCTTATAAACTATAGCTCGAAGAAGCAGAATGGATCCCGGAGCCCGAGGCGAGGAACTAGCTTATAACTTATAAAATATAAGAAGATAAAGATAACGACTTTATTCTATAGGCCTACCCTCCGAGTGGATTAATTAATAGCGCACCTTCTAAAGAATAAGTATAGTCTACGGGTTCGAACTTAGGGGTAGGAGTAGTAAAGGCATAAATAGACGCTTCTTCGCCACTACCAGATATAGACGTACCTAGTATACCCGAACCGCCCGTAATAGGACTTTAAACCCTACGCGTAATACCTAATCCTTAAAGCAGGAATCTTTAGGTTATAAGCGTAAAGCCGTAGTCTTTGGAGGAACTCTTAATTAATAATTCTTCCGACTAATAAAATAACGGAGCGGCTATATAAGAAGATACCGTAACCGACACGCTAGGATTATATATACTAGAGCTTAATATAGATACTTCGATGATTTTAACTATAGAAAGGAGTGCGTAGGTAACGGTATAAGG